CACAGCATCCAAGGCTGCCTGCAAGGATGCCTGAGCAGCCGCTGCCCCTTCCTCCACTAGCGCCTTGAATTCCTTATTGTGCTCCTGGAGGGAGTCCTCAAACTTGGGCAGGGAGCCCCACAGACTGAATTTGTACCAGCCCAGGAGAGCCTGATGGTTTGCCACTCGTGACTGGAAGCTCAAAGACTAATAAATTTTCCTTCCGAAAGAGTCCAGTCTCTGAGAGTCTTTGTTCTTTGGGGTCCGGGTGGGCTGACTCTACCGTTCCCTGTGGTTGACCAACCCGACCACCAGGGAGTTGGGCGCCGGGTGGGCATACAAGTACTCATGCCCCTTAGTGGGTATAAAGTACTTGCATTCTGCAACTTAGAGATGGAGGCCGAGGCCGGTGTTTGCCACAAGGCATTTGAAATCTTAGCCACCCCTTCATGGAGGGGCAAGGCCACCCTACCTGGTGCCAACAGGGACAGCATGTTTCACAGGGAGTTAGAGGGCTCCTCCTTCTCCTCTGCCTGGAGGTGGAGGCTTGCTGCCACCCTCTTTAAGAGTTCCTGATGGACCCTGAAGTCCTCCTGTGGGGCGGAGGGGGCAGGGCCGCAATTGCCTCCTTCAGGGAGGAGTGAGGGCGAAGAGGCCAGTGCGGTGCTCTGGGTATCGGCCGGCACCGGCGGGTCCACCACCTGGATGGACTCCGGGCATGGTTCCGAGGACGTACGTCCCACTGACTCCTTTCTCGGGGCGTCTGGAGAGGGAGGCCGACTGTGTTTCTGAAGCTCTGGCCACCAAGCGAGCTCCCACTGGGGGCTGCGCGGGAGGCCACGGTGCCCACTGGTACCATAGGGCCAGCCGCAACCCTCGGTGCCACTGCACCTGCTGTGGCACTGGCAGGGCCGGCTGTTCGGGTGGACTGGCCTAGCTCATCGAAGGATGGCTACGAATGGAGACCAGGCTGGGGTAAGATCTGCTGCTGTCTCTGGACCGGGAGGAGTGGCGGTGCCGAGATCTACGTCAGCCACAGTACCGCAATCTCAATGTGGAGGACCGGTACCAATGGTAACAGCTGCTCCTCAACGGGCAGGCCCACGACAGCGAGACGCCAGCGATCGACGCCTGGGACTGCAATGTCTTGGCAGAGACTTGGAGCTGGAGTCCAAGTGGGAACGGCGTCAACGACCATGCCGTGACCGACTGCAGTACCGCCTCCGAGATGAGGACCGTTGGCGATGCCTGCTGCGGTCCCGTCGATATTCGCTCCTTGAGGACGAGCGGTGCCAAGAGTCCTGGCCGGACAGAACCCAGCCAGACAGTCTGGTCGGTGTCGAGGACGATCCACATGGACTCTGCCCTGAACGGTGGCTGGGCAGCGAACGGTGTCGGGAATGTTCCCTCGACCGAGACCGGTACTGGGCTGGAGGTGACTGTGGAGATCCCAGCGGAGGCTTGCCTCTGGAGCATGGGGCCGACATCGGCGGCGCTCCGGGCACCAGCATGGACATAATGTCCCGGGCCGCCTGGAGGGTTTCAGGTGGTGGACGGCCTCCGGACATCCAGAGAGGCCTGTTCCGAAGGGGCCGGGCTAGTCCGCTCAACATGAGTTGGAGGCCTGGGGCCCAGTGGGGATCGAGGACTGCCCGACATGGGCCTAGCCTCTGTCCCAGACTTGCCTCGGTGCCACTGTGAAGAGGGAGACTTTCTGGATGGGGAGCGGTGCCGACTGGTCGATGGAACCGGAGGGTCGCCACGTACTGACGCTGCGGTGCCGGGTACCGGTTCGGAGCAGTGTGCCCGAGTCAGGGTCAGCATTCATCAGGATGGCCCGGAGCCTAATGTCCCTTTCTCTTTTGGTCCGAGGCTTAAATGACTTGCAAATCTTGCACCTTTTGCTGATATGGGTATTTCCCAAACAGCACAAACATTCTGCACGAGGGTCACTTCTTGGCATAGAACGCCTAGAAGAGCCGCATAACTTAAACCCCGGGGTGCGGGGCATGCCCCGGCCTGGGATCACTGACTAACGAAACAGCTAACTACAGGTACTAACGGTGACCGAACGAACAGTTCTGGGGACGAGCTACAGCAAAGCTGGAGCAGAGCAGTTCCAACGCATCTTCACTGGCGGCAAGAAGGAACTGAGGGTGGGGGAGTGGGCAGCTCCCCACATACTGCACCAGGCAGGCGCCACTCCAGGGGTCGCAGGGGGCGCTCCCCCCCCATGGGTGCTGCTAGGGGAAATACTTCCGGCACCGGTGCACGTGATGAGCAAAAACACCTATTGTGGAATACACATGAGCAATCACTTGCAAAAGAACAGGGCTTTACCTCATTGGGGATGCTAGGTGCTGTGGTTTAAAGCAAAATGAGGGAACTTGGAGCAGCCAGCCAAGATTTCTGGAGCACTGTGGTCTGGTCCCTGAGGTATACCTGCCCATGGCATACTGGGATCTCCACCTGCAGACACTTCTGAAGCAGAAGAAAACTCAGACCAACAATGGAGTCGATTAATTCTAAACTGGACAGTTGCCACATTACTCTTTCATCGATGGAAACCAAATGTGTCACTAGAGAACATTACTTAGCACCTACACTGCACTTGTCACCTACAGAGCACAAGGTAGTCTACATTCTGCAGAGGAAAAACTGACACAGAAAGGGTAAGTGACTTGCCCAAGACCATAGAGTATGGGTCAGTGGCAGAGCTGAGAAGAAAACCCTCCATCGCCCAACTCCTGGCCCTAGACTCTATCTGCGGGAAGATGCTTCTGCTCACTTCCTAAGGGAGGCGAGACTTCAGAAATCGGGTAACAGTTTGCAAGCGAAAGTGAAAATTTTCAAGGACATTCCCTCCCAACAATCTGCACTGCTTGGAAAATTAATGAAAAGCAATAAAGGTGCAGAACGCCATCTGGAAAGAGTCAGGCCTGGTGCAGGAAAGTGCGGGCACGAGGAGTCCTGGCTAATACAGGGACAAACTGAACGTTTATGGTTAAGATATCCCATCATAGAGCTCAAATTAGAGGGGAAACCTGACCTAGCATACATCAAACCATACAGAATTCCACATTACAAAAGCAGCTAGACCAGTGTCAGGGTTCCCTCCCCACTCTGAACTCTAGGGTACAGATGTGGAGACCCGCATGAAAGACCCCCTAAGCTTATTTCTACCAGCTTAGGTTAAAAACTTCCCCAAGGTACAAATCCTTCCTTGTCCTTGAATGAGTACTGCTGCCACCACCAAGTGAGTTAGACAAAGATTCAGGAAAAGGACCACTTGGAGTTCCTGTTTCCCCAAAATATTCCAAGCCCCTTCACCGGCCCGCGCTGCTTCCCGCAGCCCCCATTGGCCTGGAGCGGCGAACCGCGGCCAGTGGGAGCCGCAATCGGCCGAACCTGTGGACGCGGCAGGTAAACAAACTGGTCCAGCGCGCCAGGGGCTTTCCCCGCACAAGCGGCGGACTGGCTTTGAGAACCACTGCTCTAGGGGACACACACATGAATGAAATCAATGTGTCAGAGATTTCTGTTGCCCTGTTTCTCCCCCTTAATCACAGTCCCCCGTCTCTCCGCACTGCCCTGGAGTGGGGGGAACCCTCTTTGTTAGCCTTTGATTTTGTTTATCCCCCTTCTCCTTCCTCTGCCACACCAGGGGGCCTGAAGTTAACAGAAAGGGGGACAGGTGGGAGGGAAGCGCTCCAAGAAAGCCTACACTGTGTGCTTGAGTTGCCTCTGAAAGGCCGAAGAGGAGAGCAGAGCTGGTCCTAAGGGAGTTTAGACTGTCAGGCCCAAGCTGGGCTCTGATGCAAATAGTAACTGAGGCCTCTGGGCATCTAGAAAAGCCGGCAGGATGAGACTGTTGAATCATTTCATTCCATTATTGTTACAAATCCACAGCCCTTCTTATGCCTGAACTATTTGCCCAAGTCCTCTCTCTCTCAGCCAGGCCTCGTAGCTTTTGTTATTTGAACCCACCAACGCAGCAGAGACCTTGTTTTATGGACAACATAGTGGATCCGTTGCCGGTCAGGCTTGGCTGGAAAAGAACCTGCCATGCCAAGAAGAGCCAGTGTAGTGTTTTGAGGGGACTGTATAGCAGGAGGCAAACACCATGGGAATCGCAAGGCCCTGTTCAGTGCTGGCACGCTAGCCAGTGAGTTCTAAGCAGAAAACCAGTCTCAGGACACAAACAACTTGCAAACACCTAACATTGGAACAGCAGAAAATTACCCTTCAGCCTCTTTCCCCTCTGAGCTCCATAATGCGGATCTAATTCTGTTTATGAAAGGGAGGGGCATGCATTCAGGCTGGAACAGGCTCCATTTAAATAACACCACCGCCATCTACTGGACAAAGTGCAGAAGTGATTTAATGGGCCGACCAGAGCAGACTCAGTCTGGTTACAATCATGGGGAGCAAGACCGACTGTATCAAATAGGTTCCGATTTTCATTTCTCCTAGAAATCAGGTGCCACACTGACTGTCCCAGGAAGGGCTAATGAGCTGATGACTCCATGATTGATTAAATCCTCATCACTTTAATCTGAATGTGGTCTTAGCAGACAAGTAGAGAGGTTCCCTCTCCTCTGCCCTCCCACTTCCTATTTTTTTAAACACTTAAAGGGCAGAATTGGATAATACAATCAATAGCAGCTGCATCACCTTCCTTGTAAGTGAACTCTACAGCGTGTTGTGAACACGTAACCCGCTGGAACACAGGAGAGCTCTGTCACTGCTCCTGCCATGTAGTTAAGGTCCGACATTCCCTCCCCAGTAGATTAGGAGCCTGTGTGCACGCCCACTTTTTACATCAGTGTTTTCCTTCAGAAAATCCCCACCTGACAGGGCTGCTGTGATTTTACGTATTTATGTATTGGCTCCTTTCTTCACTGTGAAATGGCCACACACATGCACAAAAGGGGACTTTTGCTTGACAAGAGAGGAGATCAGCGAGGGTAAAATAGGGAGAGGGGCACTGAGATGTCTAACAAAATCCACTCCACACTTACAGTTCTTTCTCCAGCTGCTGCTGAATAAGCTTGGCCGATTTTGCCATTGTGATATCTAGAAAAAAAGTGGTTTAAAAAAATTACACTTGGATCATCATCATTTTCTTTCCAAGACATGGAAAAGTGGGCTCCGTGTGGGGATGAACGCTCAGTGACAAGACCCCATCACTATAATATTATCACCTGGTATTTTAACCAGGGCCCCATGTGAATTAAGGCTGGCTGGAGTTACAGTCAACAGCAAGACCCCCTACTTTCTGTGGCAGTCCAGTGTGGCAAACTGGGAATTCTGCAGCTGCCTCAGGTAGATTACAGAATGGAAATGTTTGTCTGAATTACATATGAAAGTGAACACCACAGCCAGGACAGATTCCCTTGTGTTATTTTGATATTAAATTACACTGACTTCACATTGCCTGAGCTTTCAGTGTGCTGCAGGCGTCGGTCTATTGGAGACACAACTTTGCAGCATAGCTAATGCTGACATTCAAATTGTTTCTCGGTTTCAGAGGCAACACTGCAAAATGCACACAGGCAGCTGACCCTGTTCTCGGGGCTACTGTATTATGCTGATTGCAGATTCAGGAAGACAACTCTGCAGGGTGCACTCTGTTCACTTTTGGAAAATTATCTTCTCTACCTCAATGGCTCACTAATAAGCTGCCTCTCCCTGGGTAACTCCTGTGCAGCTGGAATCATCGAAGCACCAGAGCCCCTACATTAACCTAGAGAAGCAGGGCTGGTGGTAGCGTTCTTGCCTAGAGCTCTTTGACTCTGGAATTAGTTTCCCCCCTTACTTTGGTGGGGCCCAGACTTGGACAGGACACACCAGGTTTTTCTATGTGGTCCTGTCAAAGGGCATGCCTGCCCTTTCGCGCTCCCACTGAGGCCTGCCTCAGTTTCCCCTTCACTCAAGGCAGATATTCAAAACATTCCTGTCCTAGGTTCCAATTTATTAAGTCCGGCACAAAGGTCTTTCAATAAAGAACTCAAACTTACACAGCCTTTGCCCTAGTCCAAAGTTGGGCCCAGCCTCCCCTCCCTGAGGGTCTGTCTTCCCGCTCTCCCAGCACCTCTTGCCTGGAGTTTGGCCTTTTCCAGAAGCCTTCTGTTCTAACTCAGGAGCCTTCTTACTCCCTGCACTGTCTGCAGACACCTGCCAACCCATCTGCTGCTATTTCCCCCTTTATAAGGCCCAGGTGCCTTCTCTTAGCTCAACTGGGCAGCAGGGGCAGTGGACCCAGTCCCACTTAAAGAGCCAGTCGTCTTTTGACAGGTCCCCTAACCTCTTTTTGCCCACCCAACACCCATGTCAGCCAAGAAAAGAGGTTGCAGAACACCACAGACTCTGTGAGCTAACCCAGAAAGACTTGGCCTATTCAACATCCAGCCCCCAGGGGCTGTAGTTTCCCGATCAATGAACAGTACCTTGCTTGTTGCAGGCTATCACCAGTGGCAGAGCGTTTTTCAGCACGGTGCAGTCAGTCAGGACCTGGTACAGGAACTCTGCCACGTCCTTCACCTCCCGCTGGAACGCTACGCTGTCCACGACAAACACGATCGCTCTGTGCAAAAGGGAGTGAACACAACATAGCCAAGTGGCTGGCAGGCTCAGATTGCCATGCAGCCCACACCTCAAGTCCTCATCCCCAGGGGGGTTTTCCCCCAGTGGATTGTCACATGATCACTCAGCACGCTTTTATTTTGGAGTCGTTCAGAGCGCTCCTGACGAAGGAAGGGGCCAGCACAGGCCAAGCCTTCCCACGCAGTTCTGTCAATTCACTCGAGCCCTGACCAGGGCTGGGTGATCAACGGACTTTTCTGTTCACTGGCAATGCAGGAAAAGTTTAAAAAAAAAAAAATCATTTCAGCTGGAACAAAGCCTCTCAGCTGGCTCAGTTCACATTATGAGGTTCTAAATATAAAGTGAAAGAAAACTGCAAACTGGAACAAAACCAGAATAGTTTTTTTAGTTCAAATCACATCATTTCATTTAGATCCCCCACCTCCGGATTGAAACAATTGGGCGCACTGGACCCAGACTGTCACCGCACCCCGGGGCTGCTGAATCTGCAATTTTTGCCAGAAAAATTTCCATCAAAAAGTTGCGCCCAGCTCTAGTCCTGACCTGCAGCATCGTCACTGTGATGGGTTTGGTCACAGAGACCCACTTGGGTCTGTTACCTCATGTGCTGAAACTATCTCTGAGCCCATTTTCCCTGTCAGCTTGGGACTCCAGAACCCTCTCTTGTTGAGCCAGACACACTAGTCTGTTGCAACACAGACCCAGGTCTGGTCCACGCCTCCAAAGCTGCAGACTTTCACCAAAAACTGCTCAGCAAGTTACCTATCTCCAGCACCCAAAGGCATCCAAGCCCCAAATAAATCCATTTTACTCTGTATAAAGCTTATAAAGGGTAAACTCAAATTGTCAGGCCTCTATAACACTGATAGAGAGATGTGCACAGCTGTTTGCTCCCTCAAGTATTAATCACTTACTCTGGGTTAATTAAAAAACAAAAGTGATTTTATTAAGTATAAAAAGTAGGATTTAAGTGGTTTCAAGTAATAGACAGAACAAAGTAAGTTACCAAGCAAAATAAAACACACACAAGTCTAAGCCTAATACATTAAGAAACTGATTACAGATAAAGTCTTACCCTTAGAGATGTTCCAATAAGCTTCTTTTACAGACTTGACTCCTTCCTAGTCTGGGCCCAATCCTTTCCCCGGTACAGCTCTTGGCAGCCCCCTTTGTTCTATTCCACCCCCTTTTATAGCTTTGGCACAAGACGGGAATCCTTTGTCTCTCTCTGAGTTCCCATCCCTCCTTCTAAGTGGAAAAGCACCAGATTTAAGATGGATTCCACTAACAGGTGACATGGTCACATGTCCTGTGAGTCCCCAAGCCTCTATTCTTCCTGGCCTGACTCACAGGAAGGCTTACAAGTAAACAGAGCTGTTTACAACCAATTGTCCTAGTTAATGGAAGCCATCAAGATTCTAAATCACCATTAATGGCCCACATTTTGCATAATTACCGTCCCGATCCCCCCTGCAGCCCTTGTCCCAAAACTCTTTCCCTTGTGCCCCCATGTCCCCTCCAACCCACTTTCCCCAACATCTGGGTTCTTACCGCCACCAGCTACCTCCAACACCTGTAGTTTCACCACCTAGCCCTGAAAACTATGACCCTTACCCACTGCACTCAACCCCCATTACCATGCAGTACAGCCATCCTGAAGTGCAGCACTCATTGCACAGCACTCCAGACACGAAGGCTGAGTATGATAACAGGACATACGCAAATCTGTGATTGTACGTTCCCCACCCTACCCCCTTGCCCTGTTTCCCAAGCAGTTGGGTTTCTTTTCAATAAATGAATTTTTTGGCTTTGAAAAAATTCTTTATTATTACATAAAGTAAAAGATACCTTAGCCCAGGAAAGAAACAGGCACTGCAAGTGAGCTTAGCAAACACAGATTCCTACTAACATTGGAACCACTGCACTTTACTCCCGTGCAGGGCACCAGACATTACTGGTGGCTTTCAGCCTCAAATTGCTCCCTCAAGGCATCCCTAATCCTTGCAGCCCCACGCTGGGCCCCTCTAATAGCCCTGCTCTCTGGCTGTTCAAATTCAGCCTCCAGGTGTTGAACCTCTGAGTTCCATACCTGAGTGGATCGTTCACCCTTCCCTTCACAAATGATATGGATGGTACAGCACGCGGATATAACTGCTGAGATGCTGTTACCGGCCAGGTCCAGCTTCCCATACAGAGAGCGCCAGTAGCCCTTTGAATGGCCAAAAGCACACTCCACAGTCATTCTGCACTGGCTCAGCCTGTTGTTGAACCGCTCCTTACTGCTGTCAAGGCTCCCTTTGTAGGGTTTCATGAGCAATGGCATTAAAGGGTAAGAGGAGTATCCAAGGATCACAATGGGTATTTCCACTTCCCATATGGTGATCTTCTGGTCTGGGAAAAAAGTTCCGGCTTGCAGCTTCCTGAACAGGCCAGTGTTCCAAAAGATGCGTGCGTCATGCACCTTTCTGGACCAGCCCGAGTTAATATCAATTAAATGCCCACGGTGATCCACAAGTGCCTGGAGAACCATCAAGAAATACCCCTTCCGATTAATGTACTCAGAGGCTAGGTGGGCTGGTGCCAGAATTGGAATATGCGTCCCATCTATCACCCCTCCGCAGTTAGAAAAACCCATTTGTGCAAAGCCATCCACAATGTCATGCACGTTACCCGGAGTCACGGTTCTTCTGAGCAGGATGAGATTAATGGCCCTGCAAACTTCCATCAACATGATTCCAACGATCGACTTCCCCACTCCAAACTGCTTAGCGACCTATTGATAGCTGTCTGGAGTTCCCAGCTTCCAGATTGCAATAGCCACCCACTTCTCCACACAGTCAGGGCAGCTCTCAAGCTTGTGTCTTTGCGCCGCAGGTGGGGGCGAGCTCCTCACACAGTCCCATGGAAGTGGCTTTTCTCATCCGAAAGTTCTGCACCCACTGCTCGTCATCCCAGACGTGCATCACGATGTGATCCCACCACTCGGTACTTGTGTCCTGAGCCCAAAAGCGGCATTCCACGGTGGTGATCATGTCCATGAATGCCACAAGCAAACTCATGTCATATGCATTACTTGAGTCAATATCATCGTCAGAACCCTCACTGTCACTTTGGATCATAAGGAATAACTCGACTGCCAAATGTGACGTGCTGGCAAGACTCGTCAGCATACTCCTCAGCAGTTCGGACTCCATTCCCGCAGACTGAAAGGGAAGACAGAGCACGCAGTACAAAAAAAAATGTTGAAAGACGGCGCCAAATATGGATGGAAGCACAGGGATTGCTGGGATGTGAACCGATGCATCACGGGGCATTGGGACAGGACCCAGAATACCCCGCCCCCTTCCCACAAGCCACAGCGCCAGAATGGGAAGAGGTGCTCTGTGGGATAGCTGCCAATAATGCACCGCTCCCAATGCCGCTGCAAGTGCTGCAAATGTGGCCATGCCAGTACACTTGTTCCTGTCAGTGTGGACAGACTGCAGCACTTCCCCTACGGCACACTCCAAAGGCGGGTTTAATTCAAAGCGCTCTACATCTGCAATTGTGGCCATGCCCTTAGTTTCTCTCCGAGTTCCCATCCCTCATTCTAAATGGAAAAGCACCAGATTTAAGATGGATTCCAGTACCAGGTGACATGGTCACATGTCCTGTGGGTCCCCAAGCCTTCATTCTTCCCGACCTGACTCACAGGAACATAGGAAGGCTTATAAGTAAACAGAGCCATTTACAACCAACTGTCCTTGTTAATGGGAGCCATCAAGATTCCAAACCACCATTAATGGCCCACACTTTGCATAGTTACAATAGGACTTCAGAGTAATACTTCATATTTCTAGCTTCAGATACCAGAATGATACATTCATACAAATAGGATGAACACACTCAGTAGATTATAAGCTTTGTAATGATACCTTACAAGAGACCTTTTGCAAAAAAGGCATATTCCAGTTACATTATATTTATACTCATAAGCATATTTCCATAAACATATGGAGTGCAACGTCACAGTCACTTCCATGGGGGCCCACACAGGATGCACCCAAATCCGGACTGAGGCGTCCTTGAGCTGTGCTGGATGCTCTCCTGGAAAAGTCCTCAAGCCAGAGATGGAGAGAGGCACCAAGGTAAATTCACCTCCCTTACTCTCCAGAATAGTCCCCTGTAATACTTTCCGACCATTCGATCCACCCCACTTCGCAGCAGAAGCTGCCTACTGTGCTAGCAGGTACGAGAATAAGATTTATCAAATGTGTTTTCACTCCTGACCATGCCACAGTTGAACCCAGGACCAGGTGAAAGGCTGCTGCATCAACTGACCACCCCATCTTCCCCCTCAGGCTGGAGCCAGGCCCATACAGCTGGGCAGACATGAGCGCATTCCTGTTACCACCAGCAGAAGGTTGCTGCAAACAGAGAGCGTGACTGGGCCTCTCTGACTGGGCCTCTCTGCGCCACAAGGGCAATGATGGGGTTCAGGAGAGCCTGTGGATCCACTGGACTTCACCCCGCTCTACCTGCGGCCAATGTCAGATGGGGAGAGGGGAATTAAAATGGGGAAACCCAGCCCAACTCGGGGCTCTGCTTCTTCCTGGACGAGGGATGCCTGACTCCAGCCAAAAGCATAAGGCAGCTTGCTGCCTGGACGAGCCATGTGGTGGGTGGGACTGACAAGGGGACTAGCCCCCCGAGACAAGCCCAGAGCAGAAAAGCAGGATGCTCCCAACACACCCATTCTGAAGTCTTATGTTTTCCTTTTCGTTCTGAACACTGACACCCCCGAAAGGGGATAGAACTTGAACATGTCATAGCCTGAAGGCTAAGGCACCATGACCCCATAGCTGCGAGGACCTGAAGTATGGCAAGCTTTGCCCAGAGAGTCCACAAGGGGGCACCATCCAGACAACCTAGTTACAGAGAGCAACCATCTAATTTGCATTTCAGTACATGCAAGTTAGCTCTTCGCCTTGCTGAGCTGTG